TGTTGACAATTTGTTTCATGTATTTAACGATAAAATTAAGTGTCACTCAAGTAGATACGAAACGATGGTTGCTTTTACATGGGTCCACTTAACTTTTATCAACAAGATTCGGAAAAAAAACGTATCTCAAGGATGATTTTTTTGTTATCTCTTTTATTGATAGGTTACTGGTAATTTATTGTATATGTCTCAAAGTTGTATGTTTGTGACATGGTTTTTGACCATTTTTGATATTTCTATTGAACTCGGATGCCAATGAATGAGTAATGTGATTTTGTTGCTTGAAGTTAACATACGTTAATTAGTTTGGTACTGAATACATAGATATAAGATTTAAACTTAAGAACTCTACGTTATTCGAAGAAAGTGTTAACCATCTGAGCGTGCCTTTTTGGGTATGTGAGTTCTTGTGTTGAAGTGGAAGAGTGACCGAAGAAATGCCATTGTGTGTCTATAAGCTCTTGAAAGTAGAATCTTAAATCAATTCTATATCAATGTCTTAATTGACACGAAAACTAAAAAGTACACGCAGTAAGGAACATCTGAAGATTATCTAAGACCACAAAACTCTCTTCAGATGCACTTGGTTGGTTGTGGGATGTTTTTGAGATTAATAAAGTGTCTCTAAAAAATTGGAATGAAAAAGTAAATCAAGTTTGATCACATGTTTGGTTGACAAGAAATAAAATTGAGTGCGCCAAAAAAAATGTATGTTTGATTTACATAAAATAACTTTGAAATTGTAAACAAATCAAGGTTCAAAAAGGTGTGAGGTGTAACGCGGCGACAAGGTCAAGTCTCAAGCCTTACACGCCACGGCAAGGACACGACGTTTCTCAAAGCATGACATAAGGCGACAAATTTATATGTCATATATAGAATTATTATATAGAGATATATGTTTTATATATATTATCTAATCAAATAATGATATTAGAAAATATAAATTCATATTAGAAGAAGAAAGATCATATAGATTATTATTATAAAAATAGATTTTTGATAAGATCTTTAAAACAGAACTTAGAAAGATAATTTTATACTTCATTTTAATTGCGAGCCCGTAACATTTATGAATTTGTGAAAATTGTAAGTGTTGTGATTAGTTAAATTTATAAAAGTGTAAAATATAAAATTGAAAGTGTAGAAAAAAAGTAAAAAGTTAAAAAATAATATTTTTTAGGAAAAAAAATCACGTCTTACAAAAAGTGTCACGTCTTACAGAAACGCAATGGATCATTTCATAATGATGGAGAAGCGTTTTACACCATATCGTAATAGGCACCTTTTTAAACACTAAAACACATAGGATGCGTTTGGTAGGTGGAACAGGGTGGGACGGGACATGACAGGACACATTTGTCCCATGTTCGGTGTGTTTTTAAGTGGAACTAAGTGGGACAAGAATGGAACACGCTTGTTCACTCTTATCCCCCCTAGAACTAAGTGGAACAAGACATATTTGACAAATATACCCYAAACCTAATACCCATCTACCGTCTCCATCCATCTCCATCGTCTTCTTCAAGCCACCTCCATCTCCATTGTCTTCTTCAAGCCACCTCCATCTCCATCTCCATCTCCATCTCCATCTCCATCGTCTTCTTCACAGGAGACCTCCATCTCCATCGTCTTCTCCACAACGAACCTCCATCTCCATCGTCTTCTTCACAGCCGGCCTCCGCCTCCATCTCCACCGTCTCCTCCATCTTTTTTTAAGGTAAAACTCTCTCCTTATCTCTACATCTGTTTTTACCCATTTCCTCAAATTTTGTTACTGCATCGCTTGTCTAGTTTCGTTTGAATTAGGAAATTTGTGTGCGAAACTGCTTGAATTTGAATATTATGTAGTTTAGGGTTTTTGTTTCGATTTAGTAAATTTGTTACTGCTTGAATTAGGAAATTCATGTATTTTGTTTGAATTTTTTTCTATTTTCGAGGCTTAGATGTGAATTTTAACTAGTAATTTTGGTTACTTAGACGTAATTCACTCAAATGTTTGATTTAGGGTTCTTAGGATTGTTCATTGTGGTGTGATATGTAGTTATGAACTTGAAATGTCACTGAAGGTAAATTGGTCATTTTAACCAGTCCTGTCCTGTCCTATCTTATCTTACCAAACACTGAACATCTGTCATGTCTGCGTACCAAACGCACCCATAATGATAAACAGCCAAAAACCCCTTTATAACATTTTTATACTTTTTTGTTTAAATTATAAATAATATTAATGGGTGGTGGTGGTGGCGATCGTGGAACGATAGTGGTGGCGATGACCGGGAGGGGGGAGTGACAAGGTAGCAGGTGGTGTCAATTAAATTGGATTCAAAAGTCAATTTCGCCTTTTTAAAATTAAAATACGAAATCCTTGGCGGATGACAAGGATTATGCAAGTGAACGCTCAAATGAATGATTAAATCTCTCAACCACCAAACTCCAGCAAAATTAATTCATTCAATTCGCGAACCAAGCAGGACCAATGAATTTAATTAAAAGAATTTATCATTCAAATTCCATCGGCGAAAATCAAGCCCATATTAGTAAGTTATTATTGAAGGACACTAAAAAAAAAACACTCGACAAACATTTAAATAATTCTTTAATTGCTTTTACCAAACATTCAAGTAACGATTTCATGAATCTAGGACCAACGTCTCTTCGTTGGAAACCCACCCCGATAAGGTGCGGTTTTGGGACAATGAGAGTTCCAAATACACATATAATTAAGCTACAGCTCACAAGACTAGCCACATAACCAAACAAACTCAGTAAGGGGCCGTTTACTAAACACTTACCCGGTAAGTGTTGATCGGGTAACTTTCCTCACTTGATACACATGGCAAGAGCTGAAAATCTTACCAGGTAAGAGCGATGATAAGTATAGAGAATCTTACCCGATAAGTGATGGCGAGGACTCTTACCCGGGTAAGCGTTTACCGGGTAAATTGTTGTATACGATACCGTTTTAATATACTATAATCTTATATGGTAAAATATATTATAGTGTTGACTCCTACTGGTAAGCACTTACCGGGTAAGTATTTGAGTAAACGGCCCCAATCTCACACAAGGTGTGAGATCAGAGGAGCTTAAAATGTACATACCCTTTCCTCTCCAAGGAGTAGATAAGTTGTTTTTGTTGAAGTCCCACTGGGACAATTTCTCCGTGTGGACAATGATCTAAAGGGTTTCACATATTCTCATCCTAGTTAAGTCAAAAACACAAGCCCAGTGTACAATAAGCTACAACATTTTATCCCACATCGACGCAACAAGTTACATGTGGATCGGTATCATAATTAACCAGACCATTTTCAGAACGAACTTGAGAAATCACATAGCAAACAACAAGAAGAAAACATACCATTAATCTATTAGATTGATTCAGCCATGCCAGCACGATCTATCCAAAAATCTGCTGTTGCTGAGATGATCTTCGATAGCGTTGATTTTGCAGTCTCTTGTTCTTTGTAGCAGACATGATCAGAAGGGTGGTTTGCAGTGTCCTTAATGAGGTGGGATAAACCAAGGCAAGCTTGGGGCACATTAGATCCTTTGTAAGCTTTACAGATGAAGCTTATGAAATCTGGGTAATCCTGCAACCCAAAAACAAAATCTCATTTCATTTATGTTAGATGGTATCTGGATATATTATATAGGGTCAGATTCATGGAAAAACCATAAAAAAATGAACCATTTAGACACTCTAGCAAGAGTTCACCTAGACGGTATGCACATGTGCATACAAATAACTTTTAACAATTTGTCCGGTACATACATGTGCATAACATGCACACATGTATAAAAACCAAAAAACAACTTCAATTTACTTTTATGCACATGTACATATAGTCCAGATGAATGGTTACCGAGGTGTTTCTCAGTTTTGACAGAGTCCCCCTCTTTTACAAACCCAAAAATTTGTACTATGAAAATGCAATGTTTATGAAATAACACATGTGAGAATGCAATGTTTATACAATATTGTTGCATATGTGAAACGTTCAAAATTGTTTTTTTTTTCTACAAACAAAATAGTCCTGAACATTTCATATGCAACAACACTCCATAAAACACTGCATTTTCACGTGTCGTTTCAAACGTGAATCAACATATCAAAACTGGTTTATAAGTTTGTTCAATTTATTGGGGTTGTAAATGATTATGTGTGTGTGTGTGTATATATATATATATACAAACATGCATACATACATATATAGTCCTAATCATTCATTCATTCGCAAACCTTTTACAAACCAATTTTAACAGTTCATCTAGTGTCCTTCTGGTCTAATGAACATCTGCTTCCATAAATACCTGGATTGTTTCCTAATCTAAAACGTTGATCATAACGAACAAACTCTAATTATTTTCCATAAAGGTCCAGATCATAATCAATGCATCCTCATCATTTCGATAAATGTCTCAATTAGTTGGTTTGTATTGTTTATGAATTAGGAGGTTTGCAAATGATTAGCTATAAACCTCAAACTTGAACTTGCGTATCAACTTTTCGTTGCAATTGTAGGTACTAATGCATGAAGAAAGAAAGAAAATGTGTTCAAATCAAAGAAGCAAAATTCTAAGTGAAACAGATATGACTTCTTTCAAGTTTGAAGATTTGGTGAAAAATGTTTCGGTTAAGCAACTGCACGGGATCATTCTCTTCTTTTAAGTTTGTAGATCCCTAATTTCGAGCTTTGCAATGAATACCATGTATCTAGAACATGTTTACTAATATACCATCAGATTATCACTTTTTGGTTTCTGCTTAGGGATCTGGTACTTGAATGTTTTCTGGAGTAAACAAGTATGGAGATCAAGAAATGGTTACAATCTTGATGACAGTTTTAAATACTCACATCATAAAGTGGTTGTCCATCAACGACGACCCAGGGCACATAAGTATGAGGAGGTTGAAGAGCATTTATTTCATCTGCATATTGTAGCTCAAGCTGCATAATAATAACAAATGTATAATGAATTCAATGCTGATAAGAAGATTCTAGAAAGAGGAAGATCTAAGAAAAGAGTATAACATGAACTACAATGATCTAATACACACTTCATGGAAGAAACAAGAGAAAACAACAGGTATGCCAGTTGTTCATTCAGGGTGCGTTTTGTATGTGGACGGGACTGGATTGAACTGGACAGTCGAGAGGAAGGCAGGCAAGGAATTATGGAAGGTTTTTAGGGTTTTAATTTGACATAGGTAGTTTAGTAATTTATCTTGTCTTTCTGATTTTTTGTTCCACTTATTCTGGTGGGACAGAAAAAATGCATTTTTTATTCCCACTCAGGTCTTGTCATCTCTCTTTCCAATGTCCCACCAAGTGTAAGACAACAAATTATTGTACTGTTATGTCCTATCCCGTCCTGACCCGCTTACCAATCGCACCCAGAACGCAAAACCAGTCAACTAGAGGACACTGAATAAGAAGAACATTGCATTCTGTCAAGATTTCGGGTTAATTATCAATGATACATTCGAGGATTCTAATATATTATGTTCAAAACTAAAAGAGGAATTTCATGAAGAATAGAATGTCTCATGCAGTTCCTCAAATATTGGAAAGGGCATCATAGATACATGATATAAACGAGTAAGCAACAAGCAAACGATATGGAAGGAACATGCAATTAGCTAAGAAAACTAACCTCATGTCCAAAACCACTACTGTAACAATCGATAACGGGTTTTGGATCCAAATTCAATTTCTCAAAACAGGTTTCCCATTCGGCGTATTTCCCTTCATAAGTTAATTTCTCCACGCAATAGACGAAAGGGAAGTGGTCACTCTGCATCAAATGTTGTGTTAGAAGCAGCAATCTAAACCCAACCAGTCTCAACTTCCAATAGTACTAATAGCTAGGAAAAATCAAAGTAGTTCTAAAAATTATTGCAGGGTTGGGATCACGTGAGAACGGTGAGAATACGGACCTTCATCTACCTGCATTCAAAACACTTTCAGCTACCTACTTGTATCATTATAGTTGAAACTTCAACAAATTGAAGGTGACCGAAGGAATGTGAAAGTTGATGAAGGTGAAGATGAAGGTAGATGAAAAAGCCATTCGATAAAAAAACCTCATCCAAAGGCTCAGAAGTGTTCTCACCAAAAGATTTGTTCTCACATGATCCAACTCAAGAGCTTTGCACCCAAAAAAGTTAGGATCACATGCAAATTTGGTGCATAAGAGAGATCTTTGAGCCTTCATTGCAGTTACTGTTCTACTCCCTACATCCCAACAAATGACACCATTTCCCTTTTTTGGGAAAAAATGTCCAAGTTGATATTTTACATATTTACCCATTACTATCATTGTAAACATTAACAATATGAATGATGGTCTAAAAGATTTCTCCTTTTTTGTCATGGTTGAAGAATACTGAATATATTTTACACACTCTGTTGAACTTCGTGTCTAGTCAAATGGACGAAAGAAGTATAACATCTCCTTTTAAATCAGAGTTTGAATCTTACCACAGCAGGCCAAGCATGAATTGCACAGGCCTCTACAGTATTAAGCACACATTCCCATTCACCATGCTGCAACATAAACAATATAAATCATCTTAGTAGTAAATTTGAATGCCATTTAAGAAATAACTACAGTTTCTCAACGGAAGCTGAAATGTGTGCTAGATAAGGGAAGATGAACTTATAAAAGTATCTTTATGTAATCCAAATTAAAACCTTTCTTACCAAACATCTTTGTTAAAGGCCATATGAACAATCTTAACTCTGGAAATTGAAGACCAAAATGCATCAAGTATCAAGAAGGAACAGCAAAAATTCTTACAGTCACACTACTGAACTGCTAGAAAGACCGAGTGACCCAAAGCTTGAAAGTACCAGCTAGTTTTCCTCCCTTTTTTGTAAATTTGCGGAGTATCAGATAGGGCCTTATTTGGTTCGTATATTTAAGAAGTAGTGACAAGTCAAACCCAAACCGTACAAGTACATTCGCAACAGACTGCTCTTTCTAGATTCACTACAGAAACTCAGATTTCTAAACCAAACAGAGAGAATAGAAAGATGGTCCAATACCAAATCTCTCCATCTCGAACTGATTGAGCTAAATGACTTCTAGTTTCATCTCATACAAATCATCCAAATGACGTTCTAACTTTTAAAAACCTGCATGATGAAGTCTTATGTCTCCCATTTCTTTCAAAGTAAGTTTTTTTTTCAGAAAATGATCACTACAGTGGCCTCTCATAATAATCAAAATGTGCCATTCTAGTTATCTCTTTATCATGATGAACATCAAACAGCTAAATTTGAATAACTGAATGGACAGTTCACACTGTCAACAAATAAAGTGCAAGAGGTAATCTTTTTGTGTTGCAAGCAGTCATGAAAGCTGCAGCAGGTCCCAATGTCCCATTGTGTGGCCACTAATAAGTGTTTCAAGTTTAATGGGGTTCACAGTTCACTTGTTCACACTACACAGACAAGTTATTGGAAGTATAAGTAGGTGTATTTGTTCATCTGAATTACCCCATCTCAGTGTACACCAAGTCACCACTTGGGTTGTGGCGCACTTGTTAAGCCTAAGAGGATGTGGTGGAAAATCTCGTCTACCCAGGTTCAAATACTGGCGTCGCCAAATCCCTTGTAGCCATGGAGGTTCACATGCGATGACTCCAGGCTATTCGTAGTCGCCCGGGGGATTACTCATGGCATAAGGTGGCTCGGAAACTCACGGTTACCCAAAAAAAAGTCACCAACAATAGTGGGTTATGGCATAAGGTGGCTCGGAACTCACGGTTACCCAAAAAAAAGTCACCAACAATAGTGGGTTATGGCATAAGGTGGCTCGGAAACTCACGGTTACCCAAAAAAAAAGTCACCAACAATAGTGGGTTATGGCATAAGGTGGCTCGGAACTCACGGTTACCCAAAAAAAAGTCACCAACAATAGTGGGTTAGAAAGTTAATGAGTGTTTAGTTACTTTTTATCTGAGTGATTGTACAATAATAATTAGTGATACCGTTCAAAAATAATGAGACAGTAGCCAATAATGAATTTGAGATTGTGTGGGGCTGTTTACTTAGTTGGTCCTAATAGTTTGAAAGTGATCAAACTTTCAAGCACGTTACATCCATGACCCTTTTCGAATAGAATCAACATAATAGCCAAAGAAACGGACTATCATCTTAATCGAGAATTGATACTCTCTAAAAGCACAAAGATCCTTAAAAAAATTTACAGCAAACTGTAAATCTTGTTTATTTAATCGAAGGATGTTGTTTCACAAACTATATTTTTCTTATGTTTTATCTAAAAATTTCTTTTGGTTATTTTCAGGGTCTTAAAACTGATGTAGCATTTCAACTCGCGAGTCAAATAAGAACATCATCATCCTACATTACTGATCTTGGAGTCCCTCTTCAACCTATGCATACTCCATTATTCACTTGGAAATAAAATGTTAAATTAAAAGTGCCAAATTTTAATTAAATATAAATAAAATGCTATGAAACTCTTATATTTGAAGTGCCAAATATGCTAAATTAACAATACGAGTATACCTAAAATATCTCCTTCCCATTTTACCACCGACCAAAAATTCACATTTAATTCCACTGATTGCAAGAAGGGGAGAACTCAAACCAAATCAAATATCACTACTAACTACCTCAATGAAAGTAAATTTAGATCATTGATACTATATGCTAATAAACGAAAGGCAACAATTATTGTGAAGGGAGTAAATAAACCTGGCAAACGATGGTACCATTGGAACGAATCTTAGCGTTTCCATAGGGACTAAACTTCAGATCAACAATTGAAATCAGTCCGTTATCAAATAACTTGTATAGATAGTTGACGATGAGATTCTCACAGTACGGACACAGAGCTTCGTAGTATAAAGTCAACTTCACTTTTTCTTCGCTAGCGACGGCAACCGACGACGAAGACGCCGCCGTAGATGCCGTAAAAAGATTCGCAGTTAAGAAGACGATTAAAACAAGTGGTCGAAGATCCGATCGGCGATTATGATGAACCTCCATGATAACTACCCACACAGTGATCTTAGCTCAACCCGTTTTCCAAGGTCTGAAGTCTGGACATATATTTATATTTCTTATTGTAATATATTTACATATTTGCCATTGTGTAATTCTTTCGTTTTAGGCATTTCTGCAGAGGGATGAAGGGGTGAAATTGTCCAATTTCTTACTTTTAAAGTAAACTACATTTTTAGTCCCTGTAGTTTATTGAAAATTTATATATCGTCCGGTGCATTTGTAATTACGGTTTTAATCCTTGTAGTCTACAATTCAATGTAATCCTTGTAGTCTACAATTCAATGTTTTTTGGGTCATTCGGGGGAAATGTCCTTAGGCGAACGATCATGTTAGAAGGGAAGTTAAGATAACTGAATCCTTGATCGTTTTTAGTCTCATGTTCATCAACAAATTGCTCTTTAGAAGAGAATTGATCTAGTGTATCTTATTGGACCTCATTAGTATTGACATCCAAATTGATCCAATGATTAAGATATTTTCTTACGCTTTTTACCATAACTTCTCTTCTCACTGGAACCCAATCCAATGATATGAAATGATTTAACCACAAGGGTGGTGCCTGATTGATTTGAGCTTGACTCCAAAGATCAAATGTACCAAAGAGGTCACGGGTTCAAATCCAAGGAGGAATAAAAATCCCCTTGTGACCACGGAGGTTCAAATGCGGTGACTCCGGACTATCTGCAAAGCAGGTGGTCGTCCTGGAATTAGTCGGCTCGCATAGTGAGTTGGATATTCAGGTTAATAAAAAAATGAATTTTTAATTAAATTCCTAATTTTTCTGGCCTATTAAATGAAAAAATAGCTTTATACTCATGAGAAGATCATGGATTTAATTAAAAACTGCATTCAAGATTATATACCTAAAAATCTTTTGTTTTTTTTTCTCTAAGTTCACAACGGGTCATTTCGGTATATAATCTTAAATGAGATGTTGATTTAATTCACGACCTTTTGACTTCTTAAAGTGAAAAAATGATTTTATTCTCCTCAAAAGGTCGATGATGTTTTAAAAATCTATTATGTTGTTTACAATTTGTTGTTTTCATCTCTTAATGGTAAATCATTGACGAAGTTAGTCTCACACATCAAAAACAACAATCAATCGTAAATTATGTACACGAAAATCATAATTTCATAGGTACAAGGATGAAAGGCGTAACTTTTAACAAACTTGAAGGACTAAAATGGTAGTTACCTTTAGTTTTAACATATATTTGACCTATTTATCCACTAGAATACAAAATAAGGAATAACTTACATGTATAGAAAAAAAAATACTCTTAGAAACATTCATTTTATTACTTGGGATGTAAAATCTTTAAACATTTAAGTATTTAGATGACAGATTCAATATTATAATGTTGACTTAGTAAATGACATGACATACAACTCAGTGTTCATCCAAAATAAATGTTAGCAAAGTACGTTACCTGAAGTAGGAATCGGGTGAAAATACATTACCTTTTCAAAATACGTTATGCCTCTTTATCGAAATAGAATTTGATAAATTATTTTTATTTCGATATATAATAATATTTCTATTAAAATTATATAAACAATTATGTAAAAATTATTATACAATGGCCTCTTTTTATTTTCTCCCACGTTATAAATTACGATAGCAACAAGAGAATACAAGACAAAGAATCGTTAGAGAATGGGGTCGTTGAAATTGAAGATGGACGTATCGGAGGAAATTAGAAATACATTTACAACTCCAAACACCACCACCGAGGAGTTAGGAAATATTCTAAAGGATAAAAACGACAAAACCCTTTAGAAAAAGAAAAAAAAAACGAAGAACTGAAAAAGTAAAAAACATTCTAAGGGGTCATTTACTAAACGTTTACTTGATAAGTGTTTAGTGGATAAATTTCCTCATCGGATGAACATGACAAGAGCCAATAATCTTACTGGGTAAAAGCTATGAGAGGGATGAAGAGTCTTACCCGGTAAGTGAAGATGGTGACTCTTACCCAAGTAAGCACTTACCCGGTAAATTATTGTATTCGATACATTTTGATATGCTAAAATCTTACGTATCAAAACAAATTATTTTGATAGAGAGTGGGGAGACCCTTCTAATCAAGAAAAAAACACTAAAAGCAAGCCAAATACGCGTTCGGGTGGGGGCGAACCACATCCACCAGAATAACCAAGGTTCCCAGAGGGGAAAGAGAGGAAGAGAAGAGGGGAGAGAAGAGAAAGAAAAAGAAAGAGAGAGAGAGAGAGAGAGAGAGAGAAACCAACCACAAGAGGAACAAATTATAGTGTTTACTTTTATAGATAAACACTTATTGGATAAGCATTTGGGTAAACAGTCCTTAAGTCCAGTTCAAGCAAATAAAAATTGAAGATTAAGAAGTTAAGATCAAAGATTTATAAAACCCCGATGATAATGTGTGGTCGTGGTTATTTTTAATCAAAATCTGAATAATTTTAATATATCGAATACAATTTTATGTTACGCCCGATCTGGGCCCTAAGTCCAAATCGGATCCGTATTTCACACCCAAAATCCGGCATGATTCAAGCTTTTTAAGGCCAAAAATCTATTTTTCTTGTTGAAATGCCATTTCTACTAAAACTGAAGAGATAATGTGATAATCGGGTTCCATATTATGCCAAACTTGCGGGGGCTTATATTGTTGGTCAGTTTCTCTGGGGCAAGTTTATGAATATAATTTGGGAAGGTTTGAAAGATTCTAATAAGTAATTACTTGATTAATTGCTTATATTATATTATATATATATATATATATATGTGTGTGTGTGTGTGTGTGTGTGTTTTCACCATCCATGAAGCATGAATACACATATATGTATATGAGTGTGAAAAAGGGGAGTTAATGTGATAATCGGGTTCTGGATTGAAGGTTTGAAAGATTGTGGTAAGTAATTACTTGATTAATTGCTTATATTATATATGTGTGTGTGTTCATCATCCATGAAGCATCAATCTCAGAGTGATCCAAAGCAAAAACAAGAACATCTTGTAAATGAAATCAAATATTATCAAGTAGGAATTCTTCTAAATTATGTTTCAAACGAAATATAATAAAATCAGCAAAATTTGTATGAAGTAAATCTAAAATATTATTAGTCATGGTCATTGTTATCACAATTTTTAAAACTATATATACTATATTATAAAACATCTGACAAAAACTCTTAAAAACCATTTTTTATGCATAAAGTATTGTTTATTTGATACATATTACTTAAAATTCAATATTACAAGTAAATTATGCATAAGTACAACTTATTAAAGCTTTATGTTTGAATTCGTGTAACTACTGCGGATAAACATAATCAGATAGATGATAAACATCTCATTTTAAAATATAATAAATCTAAAATATAATTAGGATGATTATTGAGTTCTAATAGAATACTTAATTATTATCTTTATAAAAAAATATTATTAAACCTAAATTAAGTTACTTCATTACA